ATCAAGCAAGTGAATGAGAAAGACAAAATCAAGGAGGAAAGACATGAGGAGGAAGTTGGGCTTGTTTCGGGAGAATCTGCTATCATTTTTGGAAATCCCAAACAGATTCATGATGCTGACAAGTCCAGTTTCGTTCAGGAGATGAACTGGCTGAATCTTTTAAAATCTGAAATGATATATTGTCATCCATTAAACATTTCTTTGGAAGGGCTGAAATCATTGAACAAGTTTGATAGTTTCAGATATGAGAGTATTACTTCTATGATGGGTAATAAAAAGGGGTTGGAAGGAGAGATTTCTGGGAATGTTACAGAATTTGAGGGATATGTGACTGGTGTGGAAATCGTTAGTGAAGAGGTTAGGGGACTGCCAGTAGATTGTATACTTGTTCAAGATAGAAGTGTAGATTTTGATTACAAGTTTCTTATGGCAAGTATTGATCCAAGACACAAAATACTCATGAAAAGAGGTATGAATTGGAAAGAGGACAATGTGTTGAGCACCATTGTTTTTTTGAAAGGGATGGGGATGGTCATCTGTTATACTATGAGGGACAACAGGGGGTTCAGGAACAGAAAACAGATGGAGGAGAATGGGAAGGGTTGATTGCAGACTTTCCAGAAGTATTCACAGCAACTCTGAAATTTCCACCTGCTAGAGATTGTGATCATGCCATTAATATTAAAGAAGGAGCAGGTATACCCAATATCAGGCCATACAGGTACTCGTTTGATCAGAAGAATGAAATTGAGAAAATCATAGCTGAAATGTTGAAGTCTGGAATTGTAAAAAACAGCAATAGCCCTTATAGTAGCCCCATTCTTTTAGCTAGGAAGAAAGATGGGGGGGCTGGAGGTTTTGTGGAGACTATAGGGCTTTAAATAAGGTGACCATACCTGATAAGTTTCCTATTCCAGTGATTGAGGAACTTCTTGATGAGTTAGGTGGTGCCAGAATTTTTTCAAAGCTAGATCTTGAAGCAGGATATCACCAGATCAGGATGAAGGCCAGTGATACTCATAAGACAGCTTTTAGGACTCATGAAGGGCATTATGAGTACCTAGTTATGCCTTTTGGGCTGACCAATGCACCATCAACTTTTCAATCTCTTATGAATGAGGTGTTGAGACCTTTTCTGAGGAAATTTGCTTTAGTGTTCTTTGATGATATCTTAGTTTACAGTAAAACTAGAGATGATCATAAAGAGCACTTAAGAGAAGTACTGGGAGCTCTACAAGATAATCAATTGGTAGCAAATCTCAAGAAGTGTTCATTTGGACAGGATCAATTGAGTTATATGGGTCATATAATTTCTGCAGAAGGGGTGGCAGCTGATCCTGAGAAAATTGTAGCTATGAAGAACTGACCTATACCCAGAGACTTGAAGGAACTGAGCGGTTTCCTGGGGTTAACTGGGTACTACAGGAGGTTTGTAAAAGGGTATAGTAAGATTGCTGCACATCTTACTCTTTTACTCAAAAAGGATGGATTTAAATGGGGAGAAATGGCTACTAAAGCTTTCCATGATCTGTAGGAGGCCATGACTTCATTACCTGTTTTGAGGGTACCAGATTTTACAAAACTGTTTGTGATAGAGACAGATGCTTCTGGGAAAGGTCTGGGTGTTGTGCTTATGCAGGAGGGGGGTCCTATTGCCTACATGAGTAAAGAATTATCACCTAGACATTTGACTAAATCCATCTATGAGAAGGAACTCATGGCAATTGTGTTTGCCATTCAGAAGTGGAGACCTTACCTCCTTGGAAGAAACTTTGAGGTTCATATAGACCAAAAAAGTTTGAAGCATTTGACTGAACAGAAGGTAATGGGGGAAGACCAACAAAAGTGGATAGCTAAGCTTATGGGGTACAATTTTATTATTAAATATAAACCAGGGATTGAGAACAAAGCTGCAGATGCCCTATCCAGAAAAGCTACCTATGTAGCCCTTTCCACAGTGACTTGCCAGGAATGGGAGGGATTGGGAGAAGAACTTGAGAAGGATTCTAAATGGGGGGAAATGATTCAGAAGATAGTGATACAGCCTGATTTGTGTATGGATTACAAAATGAAGGGAGGGCTTCTATACTATAAGGGGAGACTAGTATTGCCAAAAGGAACCCACAGAATTCAGACTATTATGAAAGAATACCATGATTCTGCAGTAGGAGGCCACTCAGGATATTTCAGAACCATGAAGAGGATCTCAAATCTGTTTTTTGGGAAGGTATGAAATCAGACATCAAGGACTACATTCAAGGGTGTGAAACATGTCAAAGAAACAAGTACCAGGCACTGAAACCTGCAGGACTGCTTCAACCTTTACCCATTCCAGATCATGTGTGGTCTGATATTAGCATGGATTTTATTGGAGGTCTTCCAAAATCCCAGGGCAAAGACACTATCTTAGTAGTGGTGGACAGACTGACTAAGTTTTCACATTTTATACCCTTGGCTCATCCTTTTAATGCCAAGGGAGTAGCTGAAGTTTTTGTGCAGGAAATTGTAAGGATACATGGATTTCCCAAATCCATTGTAAGTGACAGAGATAGCATCTTTCTGAGTTCATTTTGGTCTGAGCTATTCAAATTGGCAGGGACAAAACTGAAATATAGCACAGCTTATCACCCTCAAAGTGATGGGCAAACTGAAGTGGTGAACAGGTGTTTAGAGACTTATTTAAGATGTTTGAGTGGCAGGCAACCTAGACAGTGGGTGAAGTGGCTTCCTTGGGCTGAATACTGGTTCAACACTAATTACAACAGTTCTTTGAAGGGTACTCCCTACCAGGCCTTATTTGGACAACATCCCCCTTATATCATTCGAGGAGATGTTACTTTGTCTTCAATAGATGAAGTGGCCAAATTGACAGCTGAAAGGAATATCATGTTGAAGGAATTGAAAGACAATTTGGCCAGAACTCAGAATTTGATGAAGCAACAGGCTGACAAACATAGGAGGGAAGAAATACTGGAAGTAGGAGATAAAGTCTTTCTCAGAATACAGCCCTATAAGATGAAAAGTCTAGCTAAGAAGATCAATTAAAAGCTAAGCCCAAGATTCTATGGTCCCTATGACATTGCAGAGAAGCTCAGTTATGTAGCTTTCAAACTCAAGTTACCAGAAGGGAGTAGAATCCACCCTGTATTTCATATATCTTTGTTGAAGAAGGCACTGAAACCTACAGTGACTTACCAAAACCTCCCAGATTGCCTCACAGAAGATTGTGAGCTACAAGTGAGACCTGAAGGTGTGAGAGATATCAGGCTAAATCAGGAAGGGAAGAAGGAGGTCCTTATACATTGGAAGGAACTTCTTGAATTTGAAGACTCATGGGAGGATATTCAAGTAATACAAGAGCAATTTCCTGAATTCCAACTTGAGGACCCGGCTAGTCTAACTAATAGGAATAGATTCTATGGGCAAGTCTATTCTAGAAAGTCAAAGTTGACTAGCTAGTTATTAGTTAAAAGCTGTTAGTAACTAATAACTACCTTCGTTTGTGAAGGTTATAAATAGAATAATTCTGCAGAGGGAAGGCAGGTTGTTTAGACTCATTTGGTCTGGGACTGGGAAGTTGGAGTTTATCTCCTTCTTTGGGACTGTGTACTCGGATTCTCCATTAATGAAGCTTTCAGTTTTCTTAGTTACCCTTCTTCTAGTTGTTAGTGAACATTCTGTAATTGCTGGGGTTTCTAACATTATAGTAAATGCTTTTAACTACTATATTAAAGATGTGTTTGCTTTTTGGTTTTGAAAAATAATTATATTAGAGAATATATGTTAGTCCATTAGAGAATATATGTTAGTCCTAAGGCTTTATAGTAAAAATTGGTAGCGCTTAATAGTAAAAGTTGATAGTGCTTTAAAGAAAAGTGATTTTTAAAAAACAAAAAAAAATGAGTGTTTAGTAAAAAAAAGGTGATTTTTGCTGTAATAATTAAAGTGAAAAGCATTTTAAAGCGCTCTTTCCCATGCTTACAACTTTTCGCTTTAAAGTACATAGTTTCAGCAGATATACTTGTTTGTAAAAATTATTTTTACCTTTTTTTGAAACAAATAGCAGAAAACACTCTTTCAAAGAAATGGAAAACACTCCTTCAGTTTCATAGAAAATCCCTATTAGAAATATCCACTCCATGTTATAATGGCAAAGGTTGAGTATGCTTTAAAAGGTAGTAAGCTACAGAGTGTAATATCAATTCCCAACTTCTTGGAAGTCTATTTAAAAGTAGAAAGATAACCATGAGATAGAGAGAATGCAAATTCTCTCAATAAAAATCAATAAACTTTTATACCAAATCGGACCTCAGATGAAATTACTCGCCATTAATGACAATTAATATAATAACACACAATCATAGTTTATTCATTGAATTAATGTTAATTAAAGCTCAAGCTTGTGGAATATCGAGTGGAGGAACTGTTATAGTACTTTTGTGCAAGATCTCATAATGTGCCCCCTTCGGGCGAGTGGGGGGGTAGATTGAGATTTTGAAGGTTTGGCTATGGTTGTTGTTTGGAGAGATACTAGGAAGAATAGAACTATACAAATTTTTATAGCAATATGTAGGGATTTTTTTTGAGAACTCCGCAAACTCCCTGACGCCTTTTCTTGCTCAAAACTTGTGTGACCGTTTTAAATAGGCAGTAACGAGTCTGGAAACTTAAATAAAGAAAACAACTAAAAGAGCGAACAATAATTCAGAGATTTCAATCAGAACATAATAGCTAAGATATACAAAGATTCTCAAATCCCTAATTGTCATTAGTCTTCAAGATATGGAGATTGTCATTAGTCTTAATGATTTGGAGATTGTCATTAGTCTTCAAGACATGGAGATTGTCATTAGTCTTCAAGATTTGAGTGGTTTGTATGTGTAATTTGCTGATTTTTTACTTTCATTCGTTTGCGGTGATATTGACGCCCTATTACAGGAACAGTATTGGATTCAGCATTCAACAATAGGAAATTAAGACCGAAAGAATCTGATGGATGTTGATCAACTAACCTCCAAATTGCTGGATATTGGAGATGCATGCAAGTGGCTGTGCAGCCATCTCCTAGTCCTCATATGTTGCAGTCTGATAATAGACCCAGTTTTAATAGCATCTCCTTGCTTTGCAGAAGAGTCTGGATCAGGCTTAACAACCTAATGAATAAAAGGCCAGTATCATCAACTTCAATTATTGTTGTATGATCAGGACCCGCTTGGTAGCACTAATCAGCTTATTTTGCTTACCAGCAGAATGCTACCAAAGCAGCATTTAACTTATTTGGCTGAGATTGATATGATTTTCCTTTTAGAAAATTTAGGAGATTCAGCAATTTCATATTTTTCAGCCAATGACCATATGCCAAACAGGCACTAAGAGGGGCAATGTGTGACCTACCCAATAGCTATTAGCATCATCTACACTAGGAAAACCTGTGACCGACTGCTGCCCACTGCCTGAACCATACGGCACATCGTGTGAATGCAACCGCACCTTTGTCTTCTCATGCATCAATTTGATCGTTGACCCGTAAGTAATCTACAAAACAATTACATACCGGCCTTAATTATTCGGAATGAAAAACACCAACAATCTCTGCCAAAATACATTGCTTCATTTGTTAGATCCAGTGTATATCCGTACTCTTCTCCTCCCGTTTTGGTTTTCCCGTCTTTCCTTAAAATGATAAGTGGCTTTTATCACACCGTTCCATTTCTTAATTTAAGTCTCAATGTCTCATGTCACATGTCCAAACTTAATAGGCCGCACGGAGAAGTTCAGGATTTTGATTTCGTATCAGGAAAGGAACCACTTATCTTCTCACGAAATTCACATCGATTCCAAAATTCAATCAAACAATTGAAAATAAAAACATTGCTTAGAGAAACAATGTATTGAGTTTCCCCAATATTAAGCGTGCAATTTTTCATATCAAATCAATAGTAACCCTTTTGTACGGAAACTTAGTAAAACTACTTCACGATTTGACAGTTTAATGCTCGAAACTGCTATATATTACGGTGAGATTCTAACCTGGACACCTTCAGATGCGGCGGATGTAGGGCTGATAGAGTAATCGGAGCCAAGTTTGAGGAGGAGAACGATAGCGATGGCGAAGCAAGAGAGCGCCATAACCAACAACACTACTATGAACCAGGTCTTTTGCCAAAACGGTATGTCCAAACCGGGAGTATCAGATCGACGGTACACTGAAGGCGGTGCGGATTTCCTGCGGCTGAGATTCTGACGTTGCCGTTGTATTTGGCTTGATGCAGCCACGGTTATAGCTATAGGAAGACGTCTGACGGGCCGCCCACGAAAATCCGATTGAGAAAGACCTTTGATTCCGGCTTGTTTTGTCTTCGAATCCCGGCAGATATTCATCATGTTAGTACCGGAAATGCCACGTCTACGTGATATGTAGAGCCAACCAGATCAATCCACGTGTTTTAGATGATGACGTAAACTGATATAGTTTGGTGTCACTTGACTTGCTCACATGTGTACACAAATTGTCTACTACATTTATCACGTGTACACGGACCTTTTGTCATATAAAATTCTGTCCCGTTTTAAACGAATTACCTATTTACATACATAACTAAGGGGTGTGACAAAAAAAGTGTACACCTAGATTTTTCCATCAAGAAAGCGTACATTGTGACACACGCACCTGGGTGTATTTGAATTTAAAATTCAGTATGCATTTGAATTCTCCCGCAAAGTGGTGGGAACGAGCGTCCCCACAATCTTGTCTTCTATGTCCTGCTTGCTACCAAGGCTAAGGTTCCGTACGTCCGTCTTGCAATTGGGCCTTGCTGCCCTGTTGGGGACGTATGTCCCTTGAAGTAGGAGGGAAGCGTCTCCAGTTCCTTAAGTCCTTAGAGACTTTCGTGTTGCCCTTAGTCGACGCTCCGGACGTGACGATGGCTTCCTTGGCATGGTTTCCCGCCAATGGGTGGCGACGGTCGTCCCCAGGCATTGGCTGTCTGGTGTCCCGTGGTGCCTTCCAAGTTGCTGAGGCACTCTGTGTCTCCTGACGTACATCTCCTGATGCGCTGTTTGCCTGCTAAGTTACCGCTTACTTCCACTTTGGTGCAGGAGCCGAACGTCGTCACTGCCTCGGACCACTCTGAGGATATTTGTCCCTAGACTGTTGGGCTTTTGGTGACGGTCGTCTGGTGATCCTCAGGGGTTAATGGGCCGTTCCTATTTGGGCCATTTACCCAACAGTAATGATTATAGAAGCTCAAATAAAATGCCAACTAAGGTTGGGTAAAATGTTTGGACAACCTAAGTGCTATTTTGACCCAACCTGCCAGAAATATTAATAATAATTGAGAGGAATTTGCTACACCTAATTGGGAGTTTACTACACACTTTAAGCTATCAAATCATGGGGAGGGGGCAAGTCACAATGACTTGTGCGTACAAGATGGAGAGGAAGTCTCCTAGAGACAAAATGGCCATACCCCCATGTCCTACTCTTGGCATCTTTTATAATTGATTGAGAGGAGATGCCTCCCCCCTATCATTGAGTGTCATTCGAACAAATCAAAGGAAGAGGAGTTCTAGGAAAGACCTCTCACAAGTTCTATCTTGGAGGAAGCAAGAGGGAGGAAATCCAACAAGAAATAGTTTGAGTTCAAGGTAAGAACTTTGTCTATTTTCTTTAACTAGTACTACCTCCGTCCCATAAAATAAGTTTCACTTCAATTTAGATCGGAGTTTAAGAAAGTGGGAATAAAGTAGAAATGTATGATTGTGGTTGAGTAAGAAAAAGGTAAATGAATGTTAGCCACACAAAACTTTCCAAAAAGGGAAATGGGAACAATTTTTTGGGACGACCCAAAAAGGAAAGTGGGACTTATTTTATGGGACGGAGGGAGTATTATTTTCGTATGATTTTTAAGAAATCATATGATGGATTAAACAATGAGTTCTACACGGTTAAAAGTGTAGAATATTGATATAAAGTGGTGGTATTTAACTTAGAAGAGTTGTGGAATCGATAGGAGTCGGAACCTCCGGAAAACCGCCATTGTTGGGGACTGTTTTTGAGCTACGGGCCCGAAAGCCGCCCACCTTTTGCAAAAGTCGCCCGGCTTTTGGCTGTTGTCCAGAAATTCCATTTTTAATCGGCCTAGAATGGGGATCGATCGAGGGGTGTATCAAAGGCAACTATTGTAGCACATCATAAGGTGAGGATGATTGACTATATTGTTTATAATTAGTGAGTTAATTTCATAAGATTACCTGAGGTATTTTAAATGTGATTTTCATGGATTATTAATGATTAATAATGCCTAAATGAAAATACTATTTAGGGGCATGATGATGAAGCATGATATACAAGTTTAGAGGAAATTGTGTATGATTATGTGTTATGAAAATGATGGCATGATGATGGAATTAACTATGAAATATTGTAATAAAATATACTTTTACTTCATGTAAATAATTCATGAATGGATAAAAGTGACATTTTTGATATTGTGATTAAATTATATTTGGATTGGGAAATCAATTGAAATGAAATGTTTGACTATGAATTAAGAGTTTGGTTGTTCTAAGATTATCCGACTAGTATTGAAATACTAGTCGGGATTTTAATACGAATAATAATGTAATTAATCCTAAGAGGTTGGATTGTCAATATGATGCCTTAAGTAGTCTTAAGAGATACTTTAGGGTCAAATTGTACGAGCTCTAAGGTATGTTAGGGGTAGGCGTAAAGGCTACCCAAGTGAATGGATTCTAGGCATAGGATTTGCTTGAAAATTGGACTATGATAATAAATTAGAGTCGGACTCTAGGATTACATAGAAATGTAGTTGGGCTGAGCCCTTGCCATGTAATTGTAATTTACATGGAAACGTAATTGGGCTGAGCCCTTGCCATGTATTTGTGACCTTCATGGAAACGTAGTTGGGCCTCACCCTTGCAATGAAATTGTGGGTTGTATGGAAACGTAGTTGGGCCGAGCTCTTGCCATGCAATTGTGACGTGTTGGATTGTGCTAAAGGATTGTATAGAAATGTAGTTGGGCCGAGCTCTTGCTATGTGATGGAGTATATGGCCCAGAGACCCCCGGCCCACATACTCCTACTTCTCCTACGCAGGCCCATCAAGCCCGATGAGCATACAAAGCCCAAACGTAGCGGCCAAAGCATGAAGAAGCCCACGGTGCACATCTGGATGTCTTCGGCCCTATGGCCGAGGGCTCCAAATTCTAGGAGACAACTTGATGTGGACCTACAAAGCTTCTTGGAATTTCTAGCTAAACTGTTACCCTTCGGCTACATGATGCCTTCGGCTATCATATGCCTTCAGCTACATGACGTCTTCGGCTATCATATGCCTTCAGCTACATGACGCATTCGGCTATCATATGCCTTCAGCTATACGATGCCTTCAGCCACGCGTAGGCTTTCGATATATAGCAGACTCGACGAAGATTCCTTTTAGAGATAGGCAACCACCGCATTTAATGCGGCGTCATGTCCAACCACCGCATTTAATGCGGTGCACATGCAAATGCTGGTGTCACCCCGATTGAAGTGGCCCTCGGCCGTCAGATGTTTGACATGTGTCCCCGCCTAGCATTTATGGCTGCTATAAATAGCAGCCAATTCTTCCATTTTAAACACAACTGATATATATCGAATGTACACTCCTTCTCTCTCTTATTTGCTCTGACCTCTCTAAGTTAGTCTCCGCAATAACCCTTCGGATAAGCTACCCTCGGGTACACAATCCATCATTTGGTGCTTGATATCCGTTATATTTACTTGTGTTCAACATAAGTATTTATAAGTATTTGTTGAAGAAAAGAAGAGAAATTGGGAAAATATCTTGAGATTGTGTTAGTACCCAATTTTGATAAGATTTTGATGATGCCACTATACTTAGCATGTGTACATTGTGTCTCATTTTGTTCTAGTATTAACGTGACAAATTAAATGTACAATTTTTAAGTCTAAGAAATATTACCGGAAAAGTAAAAATGCAATAAGGTAAATTTTATTTACCTTAATAGGATATTTGAATCCTACCGGCAAATACTATTTGACTCAAAAATTATTCGTATATCACGCTCTAGATAAAAGAAGCTCGAAATATCAAATGGATGATTAGAGACAAAACATTGACCGGCATTTAATGTCAAATACGTACTGGGGTCCGGAGCCATGCACATACACATGGGACTGCAGTTTGAAGAGAAGTTCCAGCGGCTGAATCATGCGAGACAAAGAGATGAGCCCGAATAAAAGCTCCAACACAAGAAGACGAATGTACAATTTATCCTTGCCAGAATTTCAACGTCAGAGATTAATCCATCCTAACCAACGGATGAGATTAATTCAAAGGAGATGCCTATAAATATAGGCTGAAACGAAAGTTTCTAACCAAGCTTTGAGCATCCTAAAGAGAGAATTTCTATCACGAGCATTCACGAGATATCTAGCAAAAAAGAAAGTGCTATTCTAAACTTTACTCTCTGCTTGGACTCATGCTTCACTAAACTTCCAGTTTACAAGCTCTTCATTGCTAAATCATAGAAGTTTAGTTCCTAGTTGGAGGTTAGAACTTTCTTGTAATAAATCACATATTGTTGTAAACACTTAGGAGAACAATTGTTCGGATCCTACAGTGTAAGTAGATAGATAGAGTACCTTTTGATCCCCACTGGTTCATTAGAGAAAAGTCTAAGGACTGAGTAAATTTGAGTGGTGCTATACTCATCGTGAAAAACCTTCAATCTAGGTCTGAGTGTTGTAAAGGCTAGATTGGCACTAAGTGTATTGGGCTTAATACTTTAGTGAAATCCATCTGAAAGAGGGTGGGACTGGACGTAGGAGGATTACACCACCTCTGAACCAGGATATACCGTGTGTTGATTTCATTTCAGTCAACAAAGCACACACCCAACACTTCTCACATAAAGATTGTAGTTTGCCAGCAGTATCCTAAGCAGTTGTCTTAATTGACCCAACTGCTTATCCTACTGCTTAATTACTCACTTTCTTTGAGACCAAATTCACACCTTTAACGTGCACCAACATCACTTGAAAGGATCACTCTATCAGTTCTCTGAAATTCACCTTCTAAGTACAGTAGGTGCCTCAGCAGTTCCCTGGAATCCACCCAACTGCTGAGCCCTCTGCTCATATATATTTACCTCTTGTCAAACATCTCAAACATCACCAGATTGCCACTACATCACCAAGAAGTTTGCTTAATCCAATAAGCTTGTTACCCAAGCAGGTGCCTCAACAGTTCCCTCACATTCACCCAACTGCCGAGTCCACTGCTTCAGCAAAAGCTATAGTTTCTTTTCACCTAAGCATACTCACTAAAAAGCCTTGTCATACTCATCAATCAACTGTCCTTATC